ATTGGTTAGTGGGCATGACCAGTGAAAACATCTAAGCAAAGAAGAGAGGTCAAACAGGTACAAGGAAAACCAGGAGAGATCACTGTCACAAAACCCTAGAGAGAAGAGAGTATCTAGGAAGCGAGAGTGATTGACAATGCCAGAGACTGCAGATAGCTCTAGAAGGCTGAAGATAGAGAAAAGGCTATTAGATTTGGCAGCTAAGAGATCATTAAACTTTGGAGAGAGCAGCTGACAGTTGACAGAACTAGGAGCAACTGATGGAAGTTTACAAGGCAGTAGATTTTAATTAAAGATAAGGGTGTGTGTGTAGGAGTTAATAACAAAACTGTCCAGAAAGTCATTTGGACTCCTTTAACTGTCACTGGAGTTCCTTAAGTAGAGCTAGACAACCAATTCCTGGGAATGTTACAGAGGGAAATAATATTTCGACTAGATGATCTCTAAGGCTCTTTCCAACTCCAGGATTTTATGATCATGTGACAACAGAGATTTTTAGAGGAAATTTTTACAATTTGTTTTTCTTATTATGCAGAATTTTTCTTTTCCCATTTGCTTTCTGCAAGTTGTTAAACTACAGTATTTAGTAAAACACTCAATTCATGAACTGTAGTTACCCTTATTAACATTAAAGTGCAACTACCAAACTACTTAAAATATCACAAAAATACAAGTTCCTTAGGAAGCAGTTAGGTGATACAATGGATAGAACACTGGGCGTGGAGCTCTGAGTTCAAATCTCACCCCCCCCAAGATACTTATTAGCTGTGTGACCTTGGACAAGCCACTTATTCTGCTTCAGTCTTCCTCAACTGTAAAACTGTAGTAACAGTACCTGCTTCTCAGTGTTGTGAGGATCAAATGAGATAATATTTTTAAAGCATATACCAAGGTACCTGGCACATAGTAAATGCTTAATAAATGCTTGTCTACCTCCCTTCCCCCAGGACATCTGAAAATCCTAGAGCCAGAGTCCTAAGTCCAAAAACTCTTCTGATTTTGAGACATCTTTTCTTCTTTGAGACATCTACCTAAGAGTTGAAAAGATCTTGAAAGCTTAGTGGACTGCAAGCTCAAGCTAAAATGATCTTAGGCTGAGTTTGGAAAAGCCACGTCCAGGTCTAGGGTGGCAATAGTCCCATTGAACTCTGCCTTAATCAGACAGCATTTGAAATGCCGTATTGAGATTTGTTTACCACATTTTAGGAAGCACATGGACATGTTGGAGATCATCCAGAAGAGGGAGCCCGGAATGATTTTGGGACTCAAAGCCATTCCAAATAGTTTTCATTTCATATGAAGATTGATTGAAGAGAGTATGGATATTTAGTCTGGGTAAGAGAAGAGTTACAGGGAACATAATATCTGTCTTCAAGTATTTGAAGGCCTACTGCATAGAATAGAGATGTTATGTTCAGCCCCTAGATGACAAGAATGGGAATAAGGTGCAGAAAGACAAAATTATAGTGTCATAAATTTAGATCTGGATGGGACTTTAGAAGCTATGGAGTCCAAGGCCCTCATTTAAGAGATGAGGAAACTGAGCTTGATAAAGGTTGAGTGATTTTTTTAGTGGTCAAACAGCTAAAAAGTATCTGAGGCAAATATGCTCTAATCTTCCTGATCCTAAACCCAGTACACTATTCGTTACACCACTCTAACTCTCCAGGAGTGAAAAACATCCTTACAAATAAGGAAGGAAGGATGGAAGGAAAGAAGGATGGAGGGATGAACAGAATGAAGGAAGGAAAAAAGGATGCACAAAGAAAGGAAGGATTTTTAAAGTACTACAGTTGAGGAAACTAAGGCAAACAGAGATTAAATGACTTACCTAGGATCACACGGCGAGGCCAAATTTAAACCTAGGTCTTCCTAAATCTAGGCGCAGTGCTCCAGGTCTAGTTGCCTAGGATATAGTGATACAAAAGTGAGGAATGCCTTCAAGCAAAAACTAGATGACCAGCTGCCATGTGAATTGCAGAGAGTATTCCTGTTTATTTACAGATTAGACTGTGCAGCCTCAGATTTTCTTTCCAACTCAGAAAGCCTGTGATTCTAACATTCTTACATTCTTAGCCTAACTCTGACATGGTTGTCGTGACTTGTTACTTCTGCCTTGCTGATCTCATCCAGTGATGACAGTTGCACAAAATCTCCCCTGTGTTGCATGTGCACAGGCCCAGTCAGGAAGGCTAATTGTGCCCACATGTAGCTTTGAATGGAGTTTTCTGGCATTGTTCTTCCAAAACTGTTAAGAACAAAGTATTCAGGGCTAACCAATACCCTTGACAATTAAGTTTCATTTGGAGAATTAAGAACCACTGTAATGCAGGCACAGTATCTATTTTCTTGATTTAAAAGAAAATGAGAACATTTGTAATTAATTTTCTTAGGGACAACATTTTTTTTCCTGAAAATATCATGTTCTGGAATAAAAATTCATAGAGTCAAAGGCTTGGAAGAGGTTCTACTCTTAACCAAGTTATAAAATAGGAATATTATGTCTGTCTCTAATGTCTTCAGCCTCCTTTCTTCTCCCTTGGTGAAGCCTTCTTACCATTTCTCTCTAAGGCACAGTGCACTCATCCACTGCCCTCTATCAAAACCTGCTTTAATGAAAGCATATGAAGCTTATTTACATGGCGGTAACACTTTAATCAAATATTTGCATTAACTAGATATTAGTACTGTAAATTAAAGGAAACTGAGGTAAAATTTTAGGGATTATCAGGTAAGGTAGCTATTTTGAGAATCGCCTTGAGAATTTTAACATGTTTGGTGGTTTCCTGATTTGTGAGGTTAGCTCTAATTGGAAGGGACCTTACAAGATCACTTACTGAATTTCTGTCCTCTGTCCTCAGACAACACTCATCCCAGGATGATGAGAATCAATCAGTAAATATATATTGTATGCCCACTGTGTGCCCAGCACTATTTTCTATTTTTATGAACTTCCTAGAGAGAAGTATTGCACAACCTCTATTTCAAAGAGATTTCAGTGCTTAGCAATTTTGTTAGTACTTTTTGTCAAAAGATTAAATTATTCAAAAGATTCAATATTTTATCAGTGTTATTGACTGATAAATCCTAGGCAGGTTAGGCCTGGATAGGGCACTAGGCTTAGAGTCAGGAAGACCTAAGTTCAAATGTGGCCATAGAAAGAATTTATGACCAAACAAGAGATAGAGAACGTTATGAAATGCAAAATGGATAATTTTGATTACATTAAATTAAAAATTTTTTGCACAAAGTCAATGCAACCAAAATTAGAAGAGAAGCAGAAAGCTGGGAAACAATTTTTATAGCCCGGGTCTCTGATAAAGGCTCCATTTCTAAAATATATAGAAAACTGAGTCAAATTTATAAGAATACAAATCATTCCTCAATTGATAAATGGAAGGATATGAATAGGCAATTTTAAATGAAGAAATTAAAGCTATGTATAGTCATAGGGAAAAATGCTCTAAATCACTATTGACTATCAGCGTGGCTAATGTGACAAAACAGGAAAATGATAAATGTTGGAGAAGATGTCGGAAAATTGGAACACGAATGCATTGTTGGTGGAGTTGTGAACTGATCCAGCCATTCTGGAGAGCAATTTGGAACTACGAAAACTGTGCATGACCTTTGAGTCCTGAAATACCTCTACTAAGTCTATATCCCAAAGAGATCATAAAATAGAGAAAAGGACCCACATATACTAAAACATATATAGCAGCTTTTTTGTGGTGGCCAAGAATTGGAAATTAAGGGGATGACCATCAGTTGGGGAATGGCTGAACAAGTTGTGGTATATGAATGTAATGGAATACTACTGTACTATAAGAAATGATGAGCAGGCAGATTTCAGAAAAACCTGGAAAGACTTGAATGAACTGATACTGAATGAAGTGAGCAGAACCAGGAGAATGTTGTACACAGTAACAACAACATTGTGTGATGACCAACCTTAATAGACTTGGCTCTTCTCAGCAATGCAATGATCTAAGACAATTCCAAAAAACTCATGATGGAAAACACTATCCACATCCAGAGAAAGAACTCTGGAGTCTGTATGTAGATTGAAGTATACTGCTTTCTTTTTTGTTTTTTTTTCTTTCTTATGGTTTTTCCCTTTTGTTCTGATTCTTCTTTCATAATGTGACTAATGTGGAAATATGTTTAATATGATTGTACATGTATAACCTATATCAGATTGCATGCTGTCTTGGGGATGGGGGGAGGGAAGGGAAGGAGAAAAAATTTTGGAACTCCAAATCTTGTGAAAGTGAATGTTGAAAACTATCTTTGCATGTAATTGGAAAAAATAAAATACTATTAAGTGGGGAAAAAAGACTTTAAGGGAAAAATGCAGTGCATTTAAAAACCACCACCATCAACAAAACCCAAATATGGCTTTAGACACTTACACTAGCTGTGTGACCCTGGGCAAGTAACAATCTCTATTTTGTTTCAACTTCCCCGTTGTTGAATGGGGATAATAACAGCACCTACCTCAAAGGATTGTTGTGAGGATCATATGATACAGCACCTGGTACTTTGTAGGTGTTTTATAAATGCTTATTACTCCCCCCTTCCCCTTTGTATGATAGTTCATTGAGGGAACTGGTGCTTAGCTTGAAGAAGACTAGGGAGGGATATGATTGGTGTCTTCAGGTATTTGAATGGGTTGTCATGCTGAGGAAGGATTAGTTTTTGTTTTGTTTTGTTTTCTGTGTGGCCTTAGAGGTTATAGCTAAGAGTAAAGAGTGGAAATTACAGAGTCCAGTTTGGGTTTGATATCAGGAAAAACTTCCTAATACTTTAAAGGTGAAATGGGCTACTTCAAGAAATGATTGATTCTTTCTCCTTGGAAGTCTTCAAGCAGAGTCTAGACAACCATTTGTCACATTTGTTATAGTGGTGATATGCTATATGAATTGGGTGAGATGGTTTCTGGGGTTCTTTCCTACTCTCCAAATTAGTGATTCCCTGTGATAACTGTTTTTTCTTTATAGAACAGACAAAAGGCCTTGAAGATGATGAAATGGAAAAGCTTTACAAATCTCTAGAACAAGCCAGTTTATCTCCTATTGGGGATCGACGACCTTCAACCAAAAAGGAGTTGAGGAAATCATTTGTCAAGCGAAGCAAAAATCCATCCATCAATGAGAAACTCCACAAAATCCGGACGTTGAACAGCACATTGAAGGTAAAGTTTCTGGCTTTAAAATGAGCTGACAGGATGTTTTGCTCCAGGGGGAAGTCCCTCTAGTGGTATGGGAGCTCAAACTGAAATCTTCGTAGAGCTATTTAATCCTGAGTGTTTTGTGAGGTCTTGTGTGTAAGGCAGTCAGTTAGTGCAGTGAATAGAGTTATGGACTTGAATTCAGGAAGAACTGATTTCAAGTCCTCCCTCATGCCCTTGCTGCTACCTCTGTGATCCTGGGAAACTTATTTAACCTCTTTCAGCCTCAGTTTCCTTATCTGTAAAATGGGGATGATCATAGCACCTACAGGGTTGTTTTGAAGACCAAATGAACTAACATGTAAGATATATTTACAAACATGAAAGAAACATAAATATTATACAAAATTTATGTATATATTATACATATAATTATATATGCACAAATTTTATATATATGTATATGCAACATATATATTATAGATAAGTATAATGACCCCTCTTCAATAATCCTTGCTTTATATAGTCATCTTGAAGGAAAAATCCCAATATATGCCATCAGTTCCTCTCATTCACTTGTTCTAGGAAGCATTTTTGTTGTTCAGTTATGTCCACCTCTTTGTGACCCTGTGAACCATACTATCCATTGGCGTTTTCTTGGCAAAGATACTGGAGTGATTTTCCATTTCCTTCCCCGGTAGATTAAGGCAAACAGAAGTTAAGTGATTTGCCCAGTTTGAGTGTCTGAGGCTGGATTTGAACACAGGTCTTCCTGACTCCAGTCCCAATGCTTTATCCATTGAGCCACTTAGCTGCTTTCTATCTAGTAAGCTTAAGGAGTGACATTAGGTTCATAAGTAAATTAGAGATTAGCAGCATGGTGTAGTGGACAGAGAGATATCTCTGACATGTACTGGCTGGGTCCCCTTGTAAGTCATGTAACTTCCCTGAGATTTAGTTAACTTGCTACAATTCCAAGTTGCAGAGAAGATTCAGATCTATATTGGTATGGCTATGTCGCTGGAGCTCCTTATGCCAGTGAAGTCACAAGTTTAGTCCAAAAAGCCACACAAAACAAAAATAAATGGGATATAATCTGTGGGATGCTGATTGCTCTACTAAAGAATGTCATTTTAATTACTCTGCATGTCATGAAAACCTACTAGAGGTGTGACCATAGGTGTGTATCTGCGATGTTCTGACCAAGGTCAGATTGGTGTCTTTTCTATCGAGTGATTTGCAAACTCAGTGGCTTCCAAATGAAGTTGTTTAAAGCTGGGAATTTGAATGAAAGCAGGATAGTGAAACGTGCGCATGTGTGATCATGGAGAAACAGATGTTTTCGTGGCATGCTAACAATGCACAGGATGTACCAGAGTTATTTTGGGTCCTCCTGTAACTAAAATAGTTCTTAATAGCAATGACATCCTGCTTCCATATCAGCATAATACCATGGACAGAAGTCTTAGAGACTTTGGAAAACACTCCCTGGAGTGAGAGAAAACATTTAAATTCTGGAAAGCTTTGATAAATCAGCTTGTTTATTTCTATTTTTCAATCTGTTTTAGCATCATGCATCATGAGTGGGCTACCAGGAAGCGTTGTGGCAGTGCAATGATATGAAACAGCAGAGTGAGGGGCTCAGTGGATATTAAACAGGCTTCCCATGTTGGTCAACAGAAGATTAAATCATCCTAAAATATCTATTTAGAATTCTTTCCCTTTGTAGTGAGACTAGGAGACAAGGTTTTGGGAGGGTATTTTAAAGAGTAAGGATTTGATATTCATTCTCTCTAAAATGATGAGATGGCTCACCCCTTGCTAAACCATGACCTGGATTACTCCCACCATCTGCTTCCCCTGTTCCTGTAGACCTGGAGGAAGTCACACAATCATGCTGAGTGCACTGTAATTCATGTTCTCCAGCCTCAGCTGGATGCTCACTGCAGCAGGACAATCTTTTTACTCCTTCCCAAATGATTCCTTTTCTCACTTTCCAAAGAGCTATTCCAAACCTTCCCTTTATCTCCAAATGTTCTACATCTCTTCTTCCTCCTCTCAGATAAAATCTCATTTCTTATTTTATTGACACAATTGAGGCAATTTGCCATGGATTCTTCTCCCTTTCTTGTCACCTAAAACTCCTTGACTTTATACCCCACTGTCTTTTCATTTATTCCAGTCTTCAGGAATTAAATGGCATTTCTCCTTCCCAAGGTCAATCTTTGCATGTGTCTTGGATCTCATCCCCTTCAGTCTTCTCCAGCATATTCCAACAACATATCCCTTCTCAATGTTCAGTCTTTCCCTATCTCCTAGTTCCTTTCTTATTGCCCTCAAATGTGCTGTGGTGTCCCCTATCCTTTAAAAAAACCCAAATCTTCATTAGATCTTACCATGTCCTTAAGTTATTATTCTACATATCTCTCCTTTTGTTATCTGCCAAACTCCTAGAAAAAAACGTCTATACTCATTGACTTCACTTCCTTTTGTCTCACTCTTTAACCCTTTTGGCTTCTCTGAAACTGTTTGGTGCAAAGTTAACAATGACTTTTAAATTGACAAATCTAATAGCCTTTTCTCAGTTCTTATCCTTCTTGACTTCTCTGCTGCATTTGACACTCTTCTCCTGGATATTGTCTTCTCTATGGATTTTCATGGCATAATTTTTTCTTTTTCCTCATACATGTCTAATCATTCTTTTGCTGACTCATCATCCATATCATGCCCTTGTCTCACTATGCCTATTTCCCAAGTTCAGTCCTGGCCCTTTTCTTTTCTCTAGCTACACTTTCTCTCTTGGTGACCTCATTAACTTTCGTGGGTTTAATTATCATTTCTAAGCTGGTGATTCACAGATTCATATATCCTACCCCAGTTCTCCTATGTCACCAACTGCCTATTGGCCATTTCAGACTGGATGTCCCAGAGATGACTTAAACTCAACATGTCCAAAATGGAACTGTTAATTCTTTTCTCAAAACTCACCTCTCTTCTCTATTTTTGTCGAGGGCATCACTTTCAACCTCCCAGATTTACCCTCTGGTATTATTTTCATCCTTTCATTCACCTTAGCCCCATGTGACCAATCATTTGTCAAATCTTGATGTTTCTATCTCCACAACATCTCTTTGATTCATATTCATTTCTGTATCTACCAATCACAGGTATTCTAGGAAAACCAATGCATGACATTTTTAATTTTAATCCAGATTATTGACATTTTATCTAATCACTTTCTTAAGTTTAGACTACAAAACAAATCAAACTATAATTTGTAGTTTTTATCAATTTCCAAGGTATAAGTTCTTACACTGAAAATTTAACAATCATGAGCTCATCCTAGCTGGCTCCATCAAACCCTTGCTACCACTATAATTCAAGCCCTTATTATTTCTCTCCCAGATTATTGTAATGGCCTTTGAATTGACATTGTGTCTCAATTTTTTTCTTACTCTATTCCATACCTGCCAAAATAATTTTCCTTAGGTACAGATCTGACCTTGTCACTCCCCTATTCATTTAACTCCAGTGCCTCCCTATTGCCTTAGGACTAAATATATACTATTCTGGTTTTTAAAGCCCTTTACAACCAGGCTCCAGCCTATCTTTGCAGCCTCATTATATAGAACTCTTCCTCCTAATCTCTATAATCCAATCAAACTAGCTTTATCTCTGTTCTTTATACAGGGTACTCCAGCTCTTGTTTCCTTGTCTTCCGCTGCCCATCCTCCATGCCTAGAATACACTCTTTTCCTCTCTGTCTCATAGAAGCCCTCTTTTCTTTCAGAACTGAAGCACCACCTTGTACATTAAGCCTTTCCTCATCCTATTAGATTGTATTCTCCTTGAGGGAAGGGGCTGTCTTTTGACTCTTTTTTGTATCCCTAGTGCATAGTAGACACTTAATAAATGTTAATTGATTTATTGGCTCCCCCATCTGCTATTGTTTAACTTTCCTTACCACTTTACATTGATTCGTTTTATTTTGTATATATTAATATGTGTACATGTACACTACTCCCTTAGAATGTAAGCCCCTTGAGAAAAGAGATGTTTGCATTCTTTTATTTGTATCCCTAGATCTTAGCAGAGAGCCTAACGTATACTAGGTGCTTTATTACTTGTTAATTCTTTGATTAATAAGACTGAATGACCTCTAAGATCCCTTCCAGCTCTAAATATATGAGTTTATAGTTACATAAAGTAAATGAAAAGAGAAACACTACCTTTATGACTAATGTTGGGGTATAGGATTCTTGTCCACTTCATAAGCTAACCACATTCCTGATAATAATTCAATTTTTATATAGTGCCTTCCCCCAAATACCCCTGTGGGAGCAAATTGAGAAGTTAAATGACTTGTTCACAATTGTAGTTAATAATTGTTAGAGTCTGATGAGCCCACATCTTCCACCTCCAAATCTGGTGATCTTTACTGGCCCTCCTGTTCCATAAGGCTATTGCAATGTGTAGTTCATGTGTTCCTGTTTGATCACAAGTATATCTACATCTTTAAAATGAGCTGGAGAAGGAAATGGCAGACTGCTCTATTATCTTTGCCAAGAAAACCCCAAAACAGGGTTATGGAGTGTTGGACACAACTGAAAAATGACTTCACACACACACACACACACAAACACACACACACACACACACACACACACAGAGACACTCACACCTCTAAATCTTTGTTATAGTAAGAACTAGACATGGGATCATTTGGTGGGTCTCTTTTTTCTTCCATTGAATATATTCTGTTCTTCAGGGCAGGGAAAATAGAAGCCTCTTAAACAGCTAGGTGGCCCAGTGGAAGGGTATGCTAGACCTGGAGTCTGGAAGACTGATTCAAATTTGGCCAAAAAAGCTGTGTGAGCCAGGACAAGTCACTTAACTTCAGTTTGCTTCAGTTTCCTCACTTGTACAATGGGGATAATAATAGCACTTACCTCTCAGGGTATTTCAGGATAAAATGAAATATTTGTCAAAGTGCTTTGCAAACCTTAAAGGGCTATATAAATGCT